AGTTTTACACTGAAACACAATTGTTATATTCAAAAAAGATTCGAATCTCCAGTTAAACTAGATTGTTTCAGCAAAAATCCTTTCAACAAAACAAAATCCGCTGGATCAGTCTTGCGCAAAGCTAAACACCAACAAAACTCGAGAAAACCAAACAGCCAGAATCAAACAAGCACAACGTACAACAGTCTCCCAGAACACTTGGCACAGTGAGTGGCTACTTCTATAGTGTCCGAGGATCTTTGTTGGTTTTCTATTTATACACGATACAATCAAATTCATCCATGGTACCTGGGCATATTTGTATGCATGTGTATTTACATGTATATATATATATATGAAATACACCATGTTTAATATAATGTACTTTTTCACAACGGGGGACCGTGGCAGTGCATTTGTTCGTGTTCTTTTGGGATTTGTGCGAATTGCGTGTTCTTCTGTTGTTTTTGAGCGGTATGTCTACATGTTTGTGTTTGCTGCTGTTCTAGGTATTTCCAAAACACCAAACAAATCGAGAAAACAAAGAAAGACAATACCAAACAAAGCAAAAACAATTCTCAGACAGCATTTCCCTTGGATTCAGCCCACCTAAAACCCAAAAGCTAAATAACCTCACAGTCCTGTGGGAAGGAGACCAACATGTCTGAACGTGCGGGCCTTAAAGGCAAAAGTGGCCGATTAGTCTTGGTTTTCTTTAAAAAGAAGATTAACTGATGAGCGCTCAGCCGGCAAACCGGACAACTTGAGTGTAAGAGTTGAACCTATGCCTATGGGGCGCTAGTTGTGTTCTACCTGTGACGTAACTTTATCGCTGAGTGTCTTGCTTTCCGAAACCAGCTAAAGTGGTATCCCGCTAGGGACCGAGACCCAAAGGCTGGGTGAGCAACCCTGGCTCCACCCATCCTGGCCTGCTTGAAAAAGGTCTCCGCCTCCGAGAACTTCTTCTGCGCAGCCAACGCTGCTCCGAGTCTGCCTCAGTTCTGCCAAACATGCAGAGATTCCTTCCCAACACATCGAAGCTATCTGATGATTTGCTTTCAGCTTCCAAGCCTCCTTGCTTGAAAACCACTGGAGTGCCAACCTCTCGACCAACTACTATCTTGAATGCCTGACATGCAGCAATTAATGACGTTTCCGTCCAAACGAGGTATAGCCTCTATGTAAGACAGCCAACAGCCCAAAAAGCTTTGCTGCGCACTTTTGAACATCTGATGAAGAAAAAGGAAGTGAAGTAGCCCTTCTTCTTACATTGCCTCTGGTGCTCGTTCAAAGTTCAAAGGGTAAGTAAGATTCACAAACCGGCCCTGGGTCGTTTCATATGCCAAGCAGCGCATGACATCATAGGTGACGATGTCTTCGCCCAGCTTTGCACTTCGTATTCTAAGAACTTTCCGCAACAACAACTCCGCCTCAGGGTTGGTCTGAAGAGAAGGCACAAACCATTTAGCCAGAAAGTTTCACTGCACTAAGGTCCACAACTCCTTGCTTTGCTTGGCTGAGGTCATGCACCCGGCTAGGTTGCAAACCATCACTGAACGATGCGACATGCCACACAGGCCACACGCATGCGGGCAGCCTCTGGATTTCTTCCTTGCCTGGGCCGATTGCAGGGTGCTGTCCGACTGTCACACAAAATCCGGTCCAATGTTAGCTCAACATCGCATGACTCAGGGCGGACGTCGAATTGAACTGGGTGGCGCGACTAAGATAAGAAAAAGAAAAGAACAAAAAAAAACAAATCTTGGCATTCTGGAGCACTCTTGCTTGTACGAGCAACGCTTCTCTTGCCTGCTGCCCATTGCCCGTTTTCTTTGCGGCTGAATTGCTCGTGCAGAATCTTCGCGAGTCCTCGGCAAAAGCAAGCGATGGTCAGGAAACATGGGTGCGAGGACAACTACACGCAAGCAACCAGCTTCACTGATGCGTTAAGGCTGTCCCAAAAGTCCACTGACGCGTGGCCAGGACCAGGCTGGCCAAAGAAAACACGTGCGGTTGCCAAAAAGACAACGTTGTTTTGAGTTACTTTTCTGGGGCTATTTTTGACTCCTTGTCGCTTTGCGCGTTTTGCACCTTCAAGCTCAAAATTGCGGCCTTTTGGTGCAGGTGTAGCACGCGAAGTACAGGTTCCATCTTGACAATCGCACTTTTTTCAGAACAATTGTAGTTAGTACACAAAGTTTGCTTTGGCAGCTCCATCTCAAAAATTGCAACTTTTCAGTGCAAGTGTAGTATTCGAAGTGCACTTTGGGAGCTCCAGCTCGAAAGTCCCAACTTTTCAGCACAAGTCTTTCTCTCTCTGTCTCTCTCGCATGGGGCCGTGTCGTGGCGCTGCGTGGGATTCCAAATGGCACGGCGTGAGGGGACCTGCCGTGAGAACGTCTCACTCTCACTCACTCTCACTCACCCTCTCACCCTCTCACCCTCTCACCCTCTCACCCTCTCACCCTCTCACCCTCTCACCCTCTCACCCTCTCACCCTCTCACCCTCTCACCCTCTTGCTCTCACTCTCTCGCCACTCTCACTCACTCACTGACTCTCACCCATGCTCACTCACTCGCTCTCACTCACTCTCACTCACTCTCACTTACTCTCACTCAACTAATCCAGGTGTTTTTGCTTTGGCGGGTCGGGAACCGGGGCATGGCTGAGCACCAAAAAAGCCTTAAATGGCCTGCAATGGACTGTGTTTTGGGCTCAATTGGTTTCAAAAGGCCATTGTCCGTCTGCGCCATACGCCCTCCCATGCTCGCAATCTCACAAAATTTGTTTAAGAGGTGTTTGGTGCTTAAATACCTCTACATACCCTTGAATACACTTAAATGCCCTCATATGCTCTCCAATGGCCCTCTGGGGGACAACAACCGTTTAATTATCCAGTCTTGCGCGAAGTACAATTTGGCAGCAAAAGGACATTTGTTTGTTTTTGGAATCTTAATGTTATCCTTTTTTTGGTCAGCTATACCAAGTCTGGCCTGTTTGCTGCCCCACAAGTCCAAGCTGACAAACGATCGATATTTCAAACTCCGTATCGTTTTGCAGCGAGACATGCCAGTTTTGGACACAAGGGACCTCCGAATACTAAATATAAATTAATTAATGGGTTCTTCTACAACCTCGTGTGCATTCCTCGCCTTACGACTTGTCTAAGGCGTTAGGTACTGCAGCATATTATAATATTTACTCCTAATAATGATTGGTCATATACCTTAATTATCATGTACTGTATGTTTGTCAATATATTATTCGCTATTATTATTATTAGGATTATTATTATTATTATTGCTGGTTGCCTCAGAATTATGTATGCATTTGGTTTTCATACTTATAGATGTTTAAATTTAATATTACATGATAGAATCATATTTGGATTATCTGTAAGTTTATTATTTATGGTAATGCAGCCTGGTCTATATTGGTTATATTCAAATAATGAAGTATATATTAAGATAGTGTTGCATGAGGCGACGCGGACCGCTGAACGCCAGAGAGAGAGAGAGAGAGAGAGAGAGAGATTAAGATAGTAAAACATAAATTATTCATTGGCGCATATCAATGGTATTGGAAGAGAAATGGACATGATATAATTAATACATCTAATAATCTATTTTGTGGTAAGAATCATGTTCGATTGGAGACTCCAGGCCTGCCCAGCTCATCGAGTGCATGGGTGTTGCAAACCCAGTCTAACGGGGGGGTGACCCAAGGGAACCTTTTTTTGTGAGCCTCTGGTCCAGTGATACCTGCGGAGGTCCCAAGTTCCGCTTCAGCCCGAGCCCCGCGCCGCCCATCGCATCCAAGCAATCAGCATGGTCATCGTTCTGACGGGACCGGCTGTCCGCCAGGGCCACTCGATATCGACTTTCCTGGCGCATAGCAGCATCCTTGACGCCTGCTGCAACACCCGTTCTTAGAGTAAGCTCATCAAGCTAACAAGTATGCTGAAGCATTGCGATTCCTTTCAAGGTGTTCTTAGCATTGGTGAATTGCACTCACAAACTTGAATAGTTCACGGTAAATATTTCAGGGTAATTGACCTGTGACCCCGTAACCGATCTCGACACGCGTTGTAAAGCACAACTAGATGGGCCAAGATCTCAGTGTTTTCTTTCATGATTCCCGGTTCAATCATTGCACTAGTGGGTGAGTCGATGCAGAACAAAGCGATACAACATCTTGCTCGCCACATGGCTGGAATCATCTCGTTTTCGCTGAAGGGGTCGGTACATGTCGGGTCTATATATATATATATGTGTGTATAAACTATCGTACGGCTGAATCAGCATGTAAGTCGAACAAAAGATCGTCGAGCTGAGCCAACAGGAACCACGGTTTCAGATTTGTTGCCGATGTCAAAGCCCACGGATCTGCCTCACTCTCTAGAACGGCAGCTCGAGCCATCTGCCGGCGGCCGAGGCCCATCCTGGCGAAGACTTGTGATGATACACACCTGGGCAAGGATACTTATTCAGACTCCTTTGCCATAACTTGATAACTTGCGTTTGCCACCAGACTACCCTGTCTTCTTCCCAACTTTGTCCAACATGGAGGGCCTGGTTGCAAGGTCGGCTGGGGACAAAGGCGCCTTAGTAAGATTGCTGGTCGACCAGTCCGCTCACATGTTCTAAACAAATGACCAGGGATAACTTGTCAAATAGCTTCACAGCCGCGCCTCGCTGCCGCGTGTTTGGCCGCTCTACCATTCTCTATCCAAACTTGAGCACACTTGCGGGCAACAGTCGCCATGCCCTCGCCATCTCAAGTGCCACGACTCCAAATGCCAGGAAGACATCCGCATCAACCTCTTGACCTCCATGTTCCTTCTATAGGCAGAACTCACCCGCATGCGGTCCTGAGCTTCCACCTCCCCAACACGCCTTTGGCAGTGCACACATGAAAGGTCTGCATGCTCGTTCCCCAAAACATGCAGGAACACCTGCCAGCAAGAACAGCGTGCCTGCACCCACAAAGTCGCCATAGACCTTTGGACTTGGATCCAGGCCAACTTTTGCTTGTTGGGAAGGTCCACGCACCGCCGTCGGTAGGTGGTCAGAATCTGGCGAGCCGATTGCCCGTGAAGCTTGGACTTGCCTGTGCAAACCGAGCCCACTTTCTATCGAAACCAGTCAATGTAACGAGCATATCGATCGAGGTGCTGCCTTTCGCACCTCTTGTTAGCTTTTCAAGGACTTTGGCCCCAGCTGATGGAAATGGAATTTGAGCCGCGCAGAGTTGTAGCTCTCTTGATGCGAGTGCCCCTACTGATTGCTGGCAGAGCCACACCTTGCTGTTCCGAAGTGTCATGCCTCGCTGACAGAGGTTACAAGTACGGAACAAAGAAAAGCGCCTTAACTTGAGCCATGTTCTAGCAGGCGCTTTTTACCTCTCTCGGTTCCTCACTTGCAGTCTCGGCTACAACCGGAGGATCGGCATGCGGAAAATTCTTGAACGCGGGCCAAAAAGGGCGCCTGCAAGCAGCTCTCCAGAAGCATGTCCCGCGGAAGCTTCGGATTTTGCGTGGGGTCCAAGGCAATGATCACAGCCTCGCGGGAGAGCGAGCGCACCGAGTGCCGTGTCTGCCATCCGCAATATCATTCCGATGCCACGGAAATCACTTGAAAAAATGCTTAAAAACTCCAAGCGAACAATATCCTTGCCACAAATGTGGAGCCAACAAGCAAGGTTTGAAGGTCGATGTTCGGTTGGTTCTCTGTTTTGACTTTTGATTGATTCCCTTGATTGTGATTTATCCATGCGAGTCAGCGATCAACACAAACACAAGCTTTGCATGGACACACTCATGCTACCGCAGTGAGCCGTGAGCTTGCGACAACTTGTCGTGGCCAGAATGGATCAAAAAGGGCAGTATGGGTTCAGCATGACCAAATGTAGGTTCAATGAACTGCATTGAGTGCTGCATGAGAGCATGAGGTTGCAAGGTGGCCCGCGCTGTATGGCAAGGACCTTGCACAACTCTGGGCTATGGGTGTGCAACCCGGAACCATGGGGCACGTGGTCGGAGTTTTTAGGGATTGGACAGTGGCTCCCTGGCACTGAACTGTGTTCTAGGCCACGACGGGAAAGCAAATATGGGTGGAAGAAGGAGCTTTGCTGAACAGGACAGCTACGCAATTCGGCAGATACGGATTTGCACCATGGGAACTCCACGAAATGGCCAGAGAGTTGGGGAGTTCTGTTGAGTTGAAAGGACCATGACGCAAAGTACAAACGCTCCAGAACTCGACAACACGAGGTACAAAACACAAACCAGAACTGCAAACTTAAAAGAACTCAAGTGCATGTTATGTCGTGGCCAGAAACAAGCTTTCACTCTTCCAGCCAGCCATCCAACAACAAGTTATTTAAACTGCCAACCCTGCAAGGCTTGTGATAGGCTCCTCACAAAGACCCTGCCTGAAAGCGAGGCAAAGAAAGCAAACCGAACCACAAAGCTAGCCTCAGTTTCTCTAAGTCACAACTCTGGTCATGCTCAAACAGCTCCATCTTTTCGAAGTGTGAAAATTTTAAGCGTGGCTCCTCGAAGACTTCGTTTGAAACGAACTGTGCACCGAATCAGAGACCCTGTTTCGCTGGCAAGCGGAAACCGCGAAATGCTCCGACCATGGCTCTCCACTGAACGCTCCTGTTTCACCAAGGTCGCCATGAGCGGCGCCATGTTGATGCTGTTCAGGATCTGCCTGATGCGATTCCACCAAGCTCAGCCGAAGCTTTGTAACAACGAGGATTCCAAGGGGCAAGGTCCGATTCCACAACCATGATAGACTTGATAGATTCCTGGAAGACTAGCGTCCTGCTTCGTGCGCACTCTCTCAACCAATTGAGTGTATACTTTCATCAGCCCAGCCATTCCAGATTCTGGACGCTGCCATATGTTTTCAATATGAGGGCAGCCTGACCAACAAGCTGATCTCGACGAACTTGTCCCACGGCAGCCGGTCGTAACTTATCCTCAAAGCCTGATGCCGATATGGCGAACAAGTGATCATCACGTGAAGCGTCAAACATGATTTCGATGGCAATGGGTCAAAAATAGACACTCAAATTGGAACCCTGGTAAAAGGAAACGTGGACTAAAACCTGCAGTCCCCTGGTGGTTTAATTTTGACCCACAGCCAAACGGCAATGGACCTTCGGACCTTCAAAAACTTACGCTTTCACATACCACCCTGCCTTGCCGAGGTCACGATGCTGAGGCTCCGAGTGTGCGTCCTGCAGCAGCTGTCTGTGAGCATTTTTTGGTCCAGGCTTCCCATGCGCATTTGATTTGAGGTTTCTAGCAGAGGGACTAGCCACCAAAACCAAACAATACCAACCTTGCACGCCATCATTCATGTGAAAATTCAAGCGAGGGCCCTGAATCACAGACCAAAGCAGGGCCGTAGAGATGACACGCGCCCAAACCAGCACAACGCTCACTACGCACAAGCGCCGTTTGTGAGACCATCAGGCAAAAGCCAACTCGCCCTTTGCTCCTCAAGAGCCTTTCGCCCTTGCAGTTGGTGTATAGGATGGCTGCCTGAACTGCCAAGCTCTTTCGTTCCCGGCTGCGGAGGTATTCCTGGCGGCTGGCCACTGAAAAGAAAACACAACAGTCACCATATTGTTGATGAGGACGAGGTTTACGCTGGTGTTGAGTTGAACAGGCTGGATGTAGGCAGATCAAAGACTGTTTGAAGATATGAGATATGGCAGTTAATCATTTGCTACGTGGCTTGATGGTCGGTGGTTTCGCCTCATCCTCCAGCCCTGTACCCATGTGGACTCAATGACCTCGTTTTCCAACACCGCATGTGTTTGTGATTTCAACCACCTAGACTTGGCTTCGGGCTGCTTTGGGATCCACCTCCTAGAGTCTCACTGGCTGGGAGAACAGGTGTCTCTCTCTCTCTCTCTCTCTCTCGCATTCATTTACCCGTCACAGGAGCCTTTGGCTGAGGAAGGTGCCTGAAGGGATGGCGATAGCTCTTGAATCTTGGAAAGAGACGCAAGGCAGAAAGAGATGCAAAGAGAGATAGAGAGAGAGAGAGAGACTCTCTATCGCTGTAGACTGGGTGGACATGTCTGATGACTCATCATATTTGTTTGTTTTCATCTCTTATTCAAGGTTCGGAGGCTGCGGCAAAGGCTTGATGGCCATTCCCTTGATTGGCCTTGATTGGCTATTTTTCCGGAGGTTGCTTTATCCTTTCGGTCCGAGGCGACTCCCCCCGCAGACTGAAGTAAGTCACAGTGGCGGAGCTGGGTTGATGCCAATGTTGATACGACCTGTTCAATGCCACAAAACCTGCATGCAAATCACAAAGGGTTGTCTCGCCTGAATCTAACAACTCCGAGCTTCAAAACCTAAAGTGGGAACCTCTTGGTGGTTTACTCTGTATTCTGCAGTGGCGACTGGGCGCCACTACGATTGGCTGCCATGCCGGTCTGGTGCTCTGCGCTTGGCCTACCTGCTTCTCTGATGTTGGCAGCTCTCCCTTGGCGCCTCCTCCGGGTCTGGCTCGATCTCCGGAAGTAGCGTGAAGGTCACCGACATGTCCGGCGATAGTCGTGGGACCTGTCGGTGCATCTAGAGATACTTCTTGAAACCCTCACGGACAGCCCAAAATCGCCGCCCACTTGGCTCGTTACCAAAAATACACAAGTCCAAGTGGTATCCCCAACAACAATCCCCTACAACTTCCAGCCTTCCAGCTGTTAGGGCAATTGCAAAGCAGATTGTACCTACAAATACATGTCTGCTCAAAACCAAGCAAATTGCAAACAAATTGCAAGTCGGGCCGCAACGCGTGCAAAGTACCCACTGCTGGAGTGCCAAATATTTCTTCCGCATTCCACTCATTCACACATTCTTGCTGCTCATTGACATGCCTTCAATAGCCGGAGGCCACCTGCCTTTGTCATTTGCATTTGTCACCCTGGCTCAACTACTTGAGTCAGTGCACAGCGCTCTCCATTTCTTGTCATGAATGGCTGGAAAGCTAGGGCACACGGATGCTACCAAATTTTACACGCTGCAGGACGTTGCAACATGCGATCGGTTGCTGGGTTGGTTCGCATCCTCTTGCACCAGTTGGCAAAGTAGCATGCTAGGGCTAAAACTGGTGAAAGGTTTTCGTCGGGATTGCAACAACAGTCATTAACCAGAGAGCATCTTGCTTACACTAAGTGGTCATGCAAAGGATCGAACATGTTTGCACGTCGGCTATAGTGAGGCCAGTCAAGTCAATCCATAGGACGAATCGAGCGGTGGGTGGGATTTCGGCCACATTGATTGAATTTTGTTGATACTCCGGCATTCCAAGTAAATGATGAAGCAAAACCCCTTTGCATCCCTCTCCGCACATTGGCCAATGCGACAAGCATCAATGTGTTGGCTGCGGATGCTATGGGCTTGCAAGTCAACTGGTCCATCTTTGGTGAAATGGAGCACCCTCAGAGCAAGATGTGACAAGAAAGGCGCCTGCTCCAAACCCATGAGGCCCTCTGCAAATCTCTGCTCGCCTCAAAGGCGCTTTGATCCTCTGCGGAGGCAGCCGCCGGCCACGGTGCTAGCAGGGACTTGCAGCAAAGGCCTAGACAGAGATGGGAATGCACGGGTAGTGACAGATTCTGATGTCGTTTCTTTATTCAAAACATGCCAACCCAAAAAGTTATCAATCATGTTGACCCCATATTTGTCCACCCCAGTTGATAAATAGCGGGGGCATCACTTTTTGAGGGGAACACCCCTTATTCATGAACTAGGGTTGATTAATATGGGGTCAACATTAAGGGTTTGTAGGTTGATGAAAGGTGAAAGAAACAAAGCAAAGGTACTCCTTCTTGACCCAAATATGCCTCCTGGACACAAGTTGGGTGTCACAGCATTCAGCAACCTCTTGCATTCACAAAAAAATAGTTCTTGGCAAAATGCTTGATGGATCACTGGCAACCGACCCATAAATCAGTTGAGACGACTTCTACTTCTTCCGAACTCGTTTTACAATGTGTGACAATTGTGTGCGTGCAAAGGGTGAAGTTCACGCTTTGCTCGCTGAACTTGCACTTCAGCATGGTCAAGCGTTCAATCATGTAGAAAATTAAATTCAAACTGCAACAAACAACATTCAAACACACATCTCCCTCACAATGTCTAGAGCCAAAAGCAAGCACATGCCCGGAGCAATTGCGGGCACATCGTTCATTTCATTTTTAATGTATTGCTCAACAACTCTTGTACTGAACAAAGCGCCAAGGCATCCAATGAAGCCACGGCTCAAGACATTTTCAGTTGACCGTCAGCGGCACCGAAAGCTTCGCCGCGCCTTTGCTGCACCGTAGCTTTACCACGCAGTTGTAAGCACCTCGAGAAGGAAGGTCTGGGTCCATAATATGCCAAATCTTCCCAATCTTCTCCACAGAACTCCGGAAACGCAAAATCACAAACTTTCCGTGACGATGACACACATTGACCGAACACAGTCGAGCAATTGTCAACGTTCGGCCCGGCTTTGGAGAATGATCACAGTTCGCTATCTGTCTTGCAAAGTGGGATTACCAAGGTTGTTAACCTGGCATGACAGCCTGGCCTTGACATCTAAATCTTCAGTTAGGAAATGAAGCTTCTTTCCTTCGTCTGTCCATTTCTTCAACATTTGATGCAAACAACAAATATACAGCCAGCTAGAGGGGTGTCGCGCTTTAGGCATACACGTGTGACACATTCGTCAAACGCAATAAGCAGTCATGCATGGGAATATAACACCTCCAAATTAACTGCGCTGAATTGCTTATCATTAGGCAAGCAACGCAACGCGCATGCGGCGTCACAGGAAGACATCTCCCAATTACCTCGCCATCAAAAGCCAATTTTCCTCGAAGTCTCTGAGGCTGGGACTGGCTTGCATTTTGTGCACCCAATGCTGCAACTGGCTAGCGATCTGTTGGCCGGCCGCCGGGAAGTTTGGCAAATGCAGCACCTTGCATCCAGCATCGACACGCCCGAATCTCTGTCCAGAGTGACCCACTTGAGCTGATTAAGCTGCAATGGTTCTTGCCTGCTCTGTAGCCCCAACTTTATCCCTCTGCAAACAACAACTGTACTTGAAACAATCAATCATGACAATGTACCCCTGGCAGGGTGGACCAAAGGGATGTTTCATGTGTTTTCCTTTTCAAAGACCGTGTTTGAACATGTCATGCACATCTAACCAACCCTACTAGTCGAACCAGAACTACTGTAGCGACGTGAATGACGGTGCAGTCAATGCTGAGCGGCATCTCCGCCGGTGCGCCAGGGCAGCCAATGGAGTCGCGAGGCGTCCGCGTCGTGCGGCGCGGTGACAGCACTGACAGCAACGCCTATCGAACTCGGGCCCAGCCCAAAATCCGCAGTCACGGAACCGAACCTAGGGGTGAGCGTGTCAAAAATTGGTCACACCTCCAAATGCTGGCTTCAAGTCAGCTTCTTTTGAACAAGCGCAGAAGAGGGGTGCCTATATTCTACAGATACACCCAATCTCGAACATAAGCTTTCTGTGAGCTTTCCGGATGCCAAATGCTGTCACTAGTCACACATTTGCGCGTGTCTGCGACATCGAATGACAGATACGGTAAATATACATCACTATTAGTTTCATTGCACAATTACATTGTATTTCTTGATAGAAGTAATAAGAAATCTCATTGCATTCGGTATGAGCATGAAGGACTTTCATCGCCTTTTTGGCAAGGACCCATGATGTCGTAGCGCATTTCAGGGCCATGTCAAGATGAAATGCTGGTCTTGCAACTGACCGAGTCAAGGAATGAAGGTCTACAATGAGGCCTTCCTTTGCTCAACAAGCAAGTTCCGACTACTGACTGGAATAGTATGCATCTTGTTGGCAAGCAGCGCTCTTTGATGTTCTTTGTGTAATTGAATATCTTCGGCGACTCCTGCGTGAATGAAGAAACCTCCTCTGCCAACACCTAGTTGGATACGTATACACTTTGTCACATGTATTGTACAAAAGATGTCTGTAAGACCACATTGCAATACAACAAGTGGCTGTTCAAGCCAAAGCCCTCATGTATCCCCAAGGGACAGTTGAAGATCAGGAGGATAAGGCAAGTTCAAGAAGAAAAACTGATTTGGGAAAGCATGATTGTGGTTCAAGAACACTCATAGAATCGTTTCACTCATTGCGGGTGCAGAACTGCACCTCTCAGTCTCTCGTGGCGCCTGATCTGCAGCAGCTCCGATGCATCTCTTCGAGGAAGGTTCGCTTTCTTTTCCTTTCAACAGCAAACATGATGGGCGCTGAGATTTGGTTTGCAAGTAGTCCAGTAGGGCAGTCTTGACAACTTGTCTCCTTCAGCCAGATCCGAGTCCGAGTCTCTTTGAGACTGCTAGATCCGATCAGCCAAAGCGAAGGGAAATCGACAAACGCCAAAGTCCCAACCTGTCACGGTATCGTAAAACCTCCTGTCATCCATAGGCTATTGAATGGCTATTGACAAACTGATACGGGGTCTGCACGAACGAGTCATGCAGCTCAGATCAGTGTACCCACTCGTGCGGTCATCGTAGCTCTACGTGCACAAGTCACGGACTCGCTAAAAGAGTCTCTCTTTGATTCCTTTTGCTGGCGACATGTGATCTAAGTAATCCAACTTCTCGAGATACTATGTGCATCACAGCTTCTTCAAGGGCGTAATGGGCGTCTTCGGCGTCCGAGGTGTCTTCGGCGTCTTGGGCGAGAGCACGTCGTCATCGTCTTCAGGGACCGAGTCGTCAGGCACGGCAGGAACTGTAGCCTGGCAAATGCTGATCAACCGGCAAGGCCAAACACACAGCAGGCACCCACCAAACGAGTGACAAAGCGTCTCGGTGTTTTTGTTGCTGGGCTGTCGGGTGCACCGTTGCCAAGTGGCACATCCAATCAAACCACTGCATCAAGATTACCAAATAAACTGCCAACAGCGTCCATGCCCTTGTTGTGTTTGCTTCGGATCTTCAGGCGAGTACTGCCCGGAGAACACCAATTTCATAGTTTTGAGGAGACCGTTCTTGTTCGGATTTTCCGATGCTCCTGCTTTAAGAACGAAGGAGGGATCCATGGTGGACAAGTAAGCAGCATGAACTGTTCTACCTCTCGGGTGACAAACACCAGAGCGAGCATGCTTCAAAAACCAGTGCGAGTACCGATCAACTGCACCGACCCTGGCAACTCCAAGGTTCATGATCAAGGAAACCTAGCGCAATGACAACAGATGTGTCCTCCAACATTGCCACTAGCCTTCAACTCTGTGTTAGAAATGCGATTTTCGGAAGCTTCCTTGGAAGGAAACGCACCCAAGAATATGTGCCTCCATTCTCCAAACAGGTGCCAACTAGTCAATCAGTGAGTAAAAAATGGAGCAACGCATGATTCGCCGGTGAAAGCGACGTGCCCGAAGTCACAGCCCGAAACGGTGGGCTCCTTCGCTCCCTCCGGGCCAAAAGAAAACGAGTTGCGAAGCACCAGAACCTCTGGAGCCCGCGCCTGGAAGAGCACCAAATCCCCGCCCCCCAGCGCCGCCAACGTCTGCACCCCGGTGCGCAGCACTGTGGAGCTGGCCACCTCGCAGTCCTTGCAGGCGAGACCCAAGGCCCTGATGTCATGGGGTTGATCAATACTGCCAAAATTGGGCCTCCAAATGACCACGGGTAACTTTTCCCATGCGGGAAATATCATATTGCTCGTGGTGTTCAGCCAATGATTATCCAATGTAAAGGACCTTTTGATCAACCCCCATGTGGCAAAAGCTGTTTCCCATAGCTGCCAGCAGGCCGCAACGAACGGGGGAAATCGGTCTGACCGTGCCGCCAGTCCTCGAGGTGGAAGGGGTCGAATGGACTCTCCTGCAGGGAACTGATCGAAGCAAAGCCAGAGGATTGGAAGCATCCAGGGCAGCGTCAAGCGGAAAGGCGCCTTTGCACGCCTACAGCTCAGTAGATATTTGACTGCGTTGCAATGTGGGACCGGATTGACAATTCAATACCAGCACAAAGGAAGTTAGGCTGCCAAACTATACACAACTCATGACACGTGGCAGCCAGACTAGGGAAGTGAGCGCTCCCAGCATAAACTGCTGAAAACACCGGGTGACACAAAAGTCCCTCCTCGCGTGGCGAGGAGTCGGGGCTTGTATGGAAGCTGCTCCGCAAATCCGCCAGAAGCTGAAGGAACATCTCCTTCCCTTCTGGGTCTGCCATATGCACCTCACTTTCTGCCAAAATAAGAAAGCAAGCCTGTCGGGGTGCAATCAGAAGCTCAGAAGCTGCAAGTCGGGCATTCAACTCCGAATCATCTTCCAAGAGTCCCGCAGACCCCGAAGGGTGTTTCCCAACTTGCTCCAACTTTTGGTACGCCGGGGCGCCCCAAGCGATTCCGGGCTAACAGGCACGAAGGGCTCATCCACGTCGGGCATCACCACGGCTCTGAAGCGCCCGCGATTCCCGGGCACGTAGAAGGTCACCTTGGCATTGTGCCAAGGAGAGGAGTAGGGTTGCTGAAGGGAAGCATCCACACACCCGCCTTGAAAAGCACATCCTCTCAATGGGAGGGGAAGACAATATGCGAATATGGACATAGCCAGCTTCACTGAAAACTTAAATCACATTGATAGTGCAGGGTTAACTAATGAGTGATGCAACATGCCCAATGTGTATAAGGCCCCCTAGTACACGTTGGATTATTTATTCGAGCCGCCTTCTCCAACCAAGCGTGGGCAATGGCGCATTGAAATTTAGATGTTTGTTCCTTCGCCAAAACAATTCTGGTGACCAAAGATGCTGGTATGATGATTCTGTTGGACGCTAGAATTCCCAAACATACCGGCGAGGGTGGATCGGCAGTGCAAGCCAGAACATCATCTCACTCCCCAAATGGTATCGATTCGAGATATATCTTTGTTCCAAGCACGCAGTATTTTCGGAATGGCAAATATTTAAAACCATTTAAAACCTTAAAGCCAACGTTCGTCGCCCAATGTCGAAGATGTGGGGTTCAAACTGTTGTAGCGATCCCCCTGAAAGACTGCAGTCAGCGTAAACACATCTGGAAATCAAAACGCTTCTATGTGGGCAAATGCGTCAAAGGAATGGAAACGTATCCGTTGAACACTTTGGGCGTGTGCCTTTCAACTTTGAGACAATCCTCTGAACGACTTGCGCAGATTGAAACACACTCAGCTCACGCCGATACAGGCGCTTGATGGTGCTTTTTAACTTGGGTCGAAGCAATCTGTATTTCGAATCTTTTTTTCGCAAGAAAAGAGCATGGTTGGATAGATGGTTAGTGTGAGAAATGGTGACAAGGATATGTTCGGTGCGTGTTTAGTGCGATGCTTGCATGACACCTGATGCAGCCACTCCGTATAGCGACCGAGTGTCCTTTCCTCACGAACAAATGTGCGTTTCCCATCATTAAATGTTTGCAACACAAATATGAAAGCTTGAAAGGAGGGCGGTTGGACAGCCGAGCTTCACCGAGCAACAGTTTCACGAACCCTCCGCCCCTGCCACCTGACTGCCAAGGTGCTGCCTCATCGAAGGTGACCAAATACACTGCGCGCTCCAAGGGGTGTGGTGCCTGGGTACAACGAGCGTAGCCGGAAGTACAAAAACGAGCCTGTCGCGGCTTTGTCTTCATCTACAGTAACTATCCCAGCAACCTCTGACTACCGCCCAATGGATGGGAATTGAAACTTGCCAAAAAAGATTGGATCAGTCTACATATACTATAATACTTGTAATAGGTCACAGTTTGAGTACCGGACAAACCCGTTCAAAGGAACTCTCGGGGCAATGAAATCCCGTCGACCCCCCTCTTGGACGTCTTTCATAGCATATATAGCATGTTGCAAAGAAGCACACGCATTGGCATTTGAAGGACTGCGACTGTCTCATATGGACCTGTCTCACAATGGCGAGCCCTGGATGATTTGAGAAGGGAAGCCCGAAAGCAACAGCATCTCACTTTGAGAGCTTCCAATCTTGAGCACATTGAATCACCCAAGGACCCAAGTAAGAATTTCTAACGACGGTTGCTCCCCTTTTCGGCTTCTCTTTCGACCCTGAGCTAGGCCGCCGGGGATTCTGCGCGCCTGGAGGGTCTTCTCCAGGGCCTCCAGGGCTGCGGCGGTGAAGCCTCGCTTGATGGCCTGGGGCGAGGTCTCCACGGCGAAGCAAACCGCCGGGACGAAGGGCCTCGGACCCAAAAGGTGTTCGAGTGCCGCAAACCAAATATAAAAAAAGAAGAACCAAAAAAACACTACTGATTCTCACTCTCGCGGTTTTTGAAGATGGTAGCCCTTTCACTGTGTTTCTCTTATTTTAAGAAGGATTTCCCGGTAGCCCGCACCATTCGACTTCAAATCCAACCGAGGCAGTGGCCCGGGCAGATCCTCTTCCAGGAGCGCCGCGGCGGTGAAGTCGACCGAGCCGAAGACCAGCTCCGGGTGCGTGTCGGCATCCTGGACGGCTGCATGTTGTTCAAACGCGACGCAGCTGTCAGAGGGCTTTCGCCAACTGAAATTCTGAGAATCAAGTGGTGTGTGTGTGTGTGCGCGTGTCTCTCTGTGATTCATGTTCGCTTGAGAAGCATGCAAAACCCCCTAAGTAGAGCTCCATCGTGAGATGAGACAATGCGTTGATTCAGCGTGGGCGGTCAGAGATGCTGAGTCGATTTTATCTATCAAAATCAAACGTAGACTCCAGCGAGTCTAGAAGCTCGGCGACGGATCTCGCAAGTCACGAATTGCAAGCTCAAAACGAAAAATGTCCGCATCCCTCGGGCAAGAGTCATGCTGCAGGCTCCGATGAATCAAGCCAGGTACGGGATCAACTGCACTGCCCAGTCCAGGTGTGTGTTTGCAATGCCGGCAATGCCCAAAGGTGTTAGCAACTTGCTCCTTTCAAAATATTAGAATTGCACTGTGAGTACAAGCCAGCTCGTGCTTCCCACTTCACATCTAGGAGACCCCCATATCGCCGAGCTCTCTGGAAATCCAAATCCCTGGCATTCTGGCCCGGTATGGCCCGGTCCGCAGTCTGGGCGTTGCGCTCCATGTCTTCCAAGAATGTCTTGGGCACATCCAGGCTGTGGCCTCAAGGGATGGGCCTTACTCTGCTCTGAACAGCACAGTGCGTGGAACGGATCGTGACGCTTTGAATTGCTTGAGTGGCTGCTGTTGCACAGCTGGTGGTGCAGGGCTTGCCAGGTCCAATGTGACAAGCAGCTGCCTACATGCACGCAAACGGAGAGCTTAGGCTAGAGCATTGTGCGGCTTCACTGCTAATTGTCCATTTAATTAATATCCATTTATTGTCGTGTGTGTTTCTCAAAGTGGATGCTTGGGGAACTGCTCTTTTCATACGCTGGGACTGACTCTGTCATGCCAAACACCAGCCGGCCCGGCTGCTTTGCCGGAGCAGGCAGCCCCTTTTACTCATACTCACATCTGCACACTATTCTTTGGCTTGATTGGTTCGCCCACGCGAACCACATGAAACATAGGAAAACACACAATCAAATCAATGAAATGAAGCTGAACGGAAGTCACTGAATGCACCAAATGCTGTATGTTTGGTTCAGAAGCGGAGCGCAACTGCTTTGTCAGGTGTTCTGACCTACTTCTTTAAAATCCAAAAGAAGCTAAAGGGGTTCCACCTCTGCAAATGCAAAGCAAACATTCACAGGTGGGAGAACAACCAAGGATGAACACCCCAATCCATCATCTCAATTCAGAGCTTAGCAAGACAAGCACGTACAACTTTTTGCTTTGCCTGAGGTCCTGACCACACATGTTGCACGTAAACCTTGGCTGGGCAAGTGAAACGAACCTATGGCTGTCAACACCGCGTCTCCAGCTAAGGCACCATCACAAGACTTGCAAACAGCTCAAGGCCATCCAACTAACGACGCCTGCTTTGGGGCCCTCAGCGGAAGGCGACGCAAACACATTGTTGAAAACCAAAACAGTCGGAGCTGTTTCCCACCCTCGCACATGCAGCTCAAAGGGGCGGGGCCTCTTGGTATGCGACCGCGAACATCTACGGCCGGCTTGAGACTTGCATCCGAGGCACTTTCTGTTTTCCCTTACGCTCCACTTGAAGTGGGGATTGGCATAGCACCTGCCGGCCAGCGTACGCAAAGGGCAATCCTCCGTCTTGTCTATTCCATCTGCTCCATCCCCTCCTTGCTTATCCTTCTTGGAACACGCAAATATTTCACTCGTATTTTCTTGAGGCCTCTTCTCAGCATGTATGCCTCTTCTCCTTCATGCTTGACGAAGGTCAATTCATAAAATATTGTAAACCGCTTCCTCGAGCAACAACACATAAATTCCCGGCCCGCCAAGAACCAATGCCCCGGTAGTATTGTGAGTGACTCAGAATAGGGGTCCAATTGCATGGATGAACTTGAGGTCATTCAGGAAAGCTCTTGGATAGCATGGGGCTCAAACAAGTTGCAGGGCCACATTGGATGGTCTTTGCGTGCTGTCACCATGTGTGGTCGATGGTTTATCACAGTGATTTATCCTCAACATTGTTGGTGCTTCATCACAGGCCATGTAGCGCAGTTATGCACATCATCGTGTTCAAAAGACAGTTCCTCACTCCAGGAGCTTTCCTTGCTGGCTGACGCAGCTGCTTATCCATGTTATGTCCTTCGTTCGCCCGTTCTTGTTCGCACCGTTTGTCTTGGCTCATCTATGTCCTCTTTTTGTGCCAGTCAAAATCCCTTAAAACTATTCAGCATGCATGCTCGGGTGCGACTGCTTCTAAACTTCAAACACGCTCAGGTCTGGCTTAGTCAAACGGAATCACTACACACGCAAAAGGTTGGTGCACCTCATTGCATATCATGTTGAACTTTTCTGAGGTGACTCATGCTGACGTAGCTTCATGTGTAATCCAAGGCATGCAAGGCACACTCGCATAAGGGCTACCCTTGTGGGAGACATGCTCATCGTCCATTGGAATGACTTAGAGGCTCTGCCCATCCCTCACACGATTGATCATCCTGCCACTCCCGGCACCCATTCACAGAATTGCCTGCATCTATGTCAAATGGTCTAGCGCTGTTTCCTGAAAGAGTGCCTTGTTGGACTCCATTACTTCCCCCCAGCTCGTCTTTCCTCGCCTGCATCGGGGACATCTCAATGGCTCTTCCTTGCCAGTGTCCGAAATTGGCCTCACGGCAGTCCGATGTGATGGCCGCATATAAGGCGGGGCCAAATGAGAAGGACCGCAGAACAAAATAATATACAGTATATATCCTTCTCGCAGTTCTGCGTCTAAGATGAGGCATAAACAGTCTCTTGAGCAAACAAAGCTCAAGAGCAAATTACCAAATAGCAAAAATTGCCAGGGATTTCATGACAATGGAACAAGTCGGAGTAAGATGGTCAGGGCTCAACGACTGCATCGCGTTGAACTGCTACAAGTAGCTTAAAAGCAATATACGATTAATATCTGCACAAACTATTGCTGAATATGAGCAAAGAACAAGGATGTATTGAGTCCGTCCCAGATTTACAAGACCGTTGGTCTGGTTTATGATTTAGAATTCGATCAAGAGTGACAAAGTCACACGCATCAAACTACAACTGAACGTGCACCTGCTTGCTTCTCGACGATGCCAAAGGGCTATCTTCCTGCCTTGCCAAAAACCTTGGAGTCTCAGTGGGTCTGGACTTCAACAGCTGTGCTGAATCTGTCATCTGCCTGCGCCATGTATATGAACTTCCAGGTGGCACTCTGACAGGAATTCGAATAGAAAGAAGGAACTATCTACAACAACGCTTCTATCAGTCCACTTGCCCAGAGAGGATGGGCAGGTATCGAGTCTCAAGCCAGGTCTATGGTTGGCAGGCAATGATACGCCTTGGCCTCCACATCTGTGTGCCAACATGATGCTGCCTGCACTGGCCACTGGCCACCCACCACGACTCGAAGAACAAAACAAAAGAACAGCCAAATGGACGAGTTGCTTCCATCATGAACTGGCCGATTTGACTGACTCACCAGGAGTATTCGTTCTGCGATGCACATTTGGTGTCCATCTCTGGGGTCAACTGTATCACAATTATTCACAAGCTCTGAGTACAATAAGGAATCACCTCGCAATGTTCTGCGTCTCACAACTAGAGACCTTCTTTTTCTCGGAACAGGTATGAAGACGAACCAGGAGTGGCCAGACGTGGGCAGTTTGTCCGCATTCCCACAAAAGGGATCCTGAGGTGCACCATGTTCAAAATCGTCTTCGTCATGACTGTTGAAATGCTTTTGATCTCAAGTGTTCAAGCACACACTTCGCGTTTCCGCCTCACCAAAACTGGGCCGGAGTAGCCATTTGGGTCTGACGCACAAGTTGTGTGCATACCACGCTGAAATCCAAATGTTCTGTCGGGCTGCCTTGCTTCAACAAGCCAGCTACGTGCGCTTGGCTCATCCCCTCTCCCCGCTTCCAGGGCTGCCGGCAAAGATGTAAAATCCGCGCTATCCGCAAAGGGCGTAAGGACCTCAGCCAGTGGAATCAATGTGCCAGCTGTCGCCCTTTTGCAGTTGATCACTTTGCCCAAATGGTGTTCTAAGAAAAAAACCTGCCACTTCAAGCTTGTGAATGCGCAAATTGAGATTTTGACTCCAAGGTGCAACACTACCGTGAATGCCATCATAGCCATGCTTCTTGTCATGTTCCTGCAGCAACAGTGGAAGCAGTTCCATCACGCGATATCACTCAGCAGAAGCGACGAAACAGCTTTGCTTGGTTCCCACTGGCCACAAGGCAGTGCAACACATCGAGCAAATCACACGACTCGATGCAATAAGAGTCGATGGCATGGCCTTTGACCCATGTCACAGGCCACCTTTGTCACTGATAAGCCGTCACCCCTGGATGCCACCGGTAGGAATGGGTATCCATGCAACACACAGCTTTGTAGTCTTTGGGTCCAAAACACAACAGGGCTGCGCTTTGTTCATGCTGCCCAAAAAATGCTGCATTGGTTTGAAGCCTGCAAAGAGCTTTTTACATAGCTCGGACTGAAGGAACCACCGAACGGCTCTATGGGGCCCCCAACCACTGACAGCGGCACTGGCAGGTGGCTGCTATCGGGCCGGAGCATCACAGCGTCCATGCTGCTCCACAGGAACCTCAAATTTGAAGCTACCGATCAAAGCTCCAACAAAAACAGCAGCATCATGACCCTTGCCTCAACTTGAAGGAGCTCCTTTAAACTCGACGTCTTGGGATATCCAGGATGCCTCCAGGTGAGTGATGGTTCAAATCATGGCAGCGGAATGCCAAACCTTGGTCGGCCCACGTCTCACTACGTAGCCCAATTGCATTGAATGTTGAACAGCCGTGCTTACCTTATTTTGGATCTGCCGCCTATTCATGTTACAGCATTGTAAACTTGCTTAGCTCACATCCATGCTGTTCCGGCCTAAGTTCGTTTCTTCATCTTGCTGACTTGCCTCAGGACGTCATTGGTCCCATTCCCTGCCGGTACAATTTGCTGCTTATGACATGCTGTGCTTGTTGATCTCTTGCCATTGTTCACGTGTGGTTGGACTCTCCAAGCTGCTTAGTGTTTGCATTGGGCTGTTCAACTAACCATTACTTGGCCGCTTGAGCTGGCTCACAAACCCACGCCAGTTGTCGGAACCAAATGGGAAGCCACCCTCCAACTTCCAAGCCAATAAGCCACATTCCCAACTAAAAGGCGAAACTATGATGCTCCATTCTCAGCAAACTTGTCCAGCGATTGCAAGCACTGCAACCGCATGCCACAGCTAAACCAACATACAATGGCTGAGTGGCCTAAACCTTGTTGAAGCCAATTGGCCACATCATCCAGGGGTCCACAAATAGAGGAATCACAAACGGGGGAGAACCCAACGTCTTACCTCAGTGACTAGTCTAATCTAAACTACTGTAGTCATAGGGCGACATAGCCTGGATGTAGACCAGGCCTGTGATTGTCCCAACTATCAACCATTCAAAGGGCCACTGAAGTCAAACGTCTTGGCATCCGAGGCACTGTCGCGCGGCATTCTGCTCCCGCGCCACTGAGCGTGCCTCTGGGCTCTTGCCTCGGCTGGATGGCCTGCTTGGATGGCTTGTGACAGATCCCCAAAACTGCTTGGTGTCTCTTCGGCACCCTTGAGAACCAAAAGAAATGCCTTTCTTCTGGCCACATGCCACAAAGCCAAAAAATCGGCGCACGTGTGAGCTGTGTGAGCATTGTGTTAAGCATACAAGATTTCAAGTTTCCCCACTGGACAAACATCTCGCAATCCTGCCCTGAACAAACATCTAGCCTGCCATAAGTACAAGCACAACAGCATTCAATCAATCATCACAAAATGCACATCACCTCCTTGTGCGTGTCTTTGGCTAGAACGGGTGTCCCTACATGCACTTGCCAGCCGGTCCGTTCCTTTTCCCATTTAAAAAAAAAAAAAAAGAAAAAAAAAACGCCAAAGGCCAAGGACAGAGCTGGGGCTGGTGGGTGAGAACTCCACGGGGCCCTCCTCCTCGATGGAGCCGTACACCGCCTAGCGCCAATGTCTAAGCCTCGAAGGTTCTCGGGATCCGAACCAACAAAACAGAATTCGATCATTCACGCACGGAATGCACCAAAAACACGCATTCGCACAGAATGCACAAGTTCATGCTACACTGAGGCAATCGTCTTCAACTAGTACACATACTTTTCCAATGTGCTCATGGAGCGCAAGTTCCGCTGTACTCACGGCTAGCTTGAGCCCTGAATACGAACAGCGCATGGGTTCAGTGGGCGTGTCAAGTTCAAACTATCACGAGCGCCTCGATAGCGCCAACATCTGCCAAACACAAGCGTCTTCAGAAAGAGACTAATATTCACGTGAAACATCCGGTGGGACACAATGAACGTTCACAGCCTCTCGATTGCGCAATGACACACGAAAACAAGCTGCGCGCCACATCAACAAGTCAACAGCAAACAACATGCAAGCGCCCCATGGTGGTCTGTTATTTCCAAGCGGGCCGCCTCATACACAACAAGGTAAAACTCATATCTGAAAAAAAAGAAGAAAACAAGAACAATAGTACATAATGACAGTACATATGTCAAAATTCCATAGACACTTACTTGTAAATGTCTTCATCATGGCCTCATGTATACGTCTATCTGCAGATAGTAAGATGTTCCTCCAACTACATTCGTCAAATGCAGCAGGTGAGCCTGTGAAAAACGAGTCGTTTGTCTTGAAGCCGCAGCACTGTAGCAGAACTCATTGCCGAGTAACCGTCAATCGTAGACCCCTCATGGCTGATTTCATGCTTGTGCCTCCTGTGGAGCTGGTTGCCAGGCCTCAGCGTCTATGCCGCTGATGGGCCGGGGCAGCTTCTCTGGGTTTCCTGGGCATCCCGGCTTCGCCAAATGTCAAAGGCTGTCGGCGTAACGCTGGGCCCAATGTGGGAACACATCCAAACACAAATCGGTTGACGGCCCCACACAACAACAATGCAGAGAGATGCCACGCTTTGGACACACGGCAATACAAGTGTAACACGCACCTGAGCAAGTACATGGAATGGGTTTGGAAGACCGAAAGCAATCAGCTTGCAACTATGCAGCAACATCTGGATTTGCGCCATTTGTTGGACAAAGTGGTCAGAACAGAGATCATCACGTGCAGGGTAGCATAAACACAATATATGATACACAACAAAGCGGAATATTGTTTGACCTCTTTAATTTATGCCGAGACTTTTATGATGCAAAAAGGAAACATGTGGCAAGCAATCCTCTCAGAATCTGGACACCTTGCAAATTATGTAATCTGGCCACTCAATGCTTGTTTGGGAGATAGACACCCCACTCTCTGCGTCGTGATAGCCATGAGGAACGTAAAGGCAGCCAAGCACTTCTGCAATATTCATGCATATACATCATGAAGCAAGTGTCATTATGGGCTCCCTATTGCTGCTTGAACTTCGCTGGAGCAGCTATGCCAGTGATGGCAAAATCATTCGTTACTGGTACAAGCCTATCATTCGATGCTACAAGCAGTCCCCGTTCCTCTTGAGTTCAACCGTTTGATTCGGCAAGCGTCCTGGATCCAGAACGTGGTGGGTCATTTCCGGCTCGGCCTTGGCACAAGAGAGGACAGTGGGAACCAACCAAGCACGCAGCGCGGGAAAAGACATAAGGCGTTTTCCCTGCTGGCTGATCAGCCAAACTGCGCTCGGACAATTTGAATCGCTCAACCAATGCGAGCAGTCCAACACTATCTGATAAACATCAGCTCAGATGTAGGCATATACACAGCCGTCTACCTTGATAATATGTTGCCTGGAACTTAACTTCACCCACCCACTCATGGAAGAAAAATCCAACCGGTCCAATGCTTTCTGTCCCAATAATTGTATGACTGGCCGCATGCTCCCCACTGCCCTCCTGGGCTCCCTGTCCCTGGATCTCCGCAGGGAGGAGGTTCGGCCATAGCCGCTTCTTGAATATCCTGCACCCGAACGGCACTAGGGCTGCTGGCATCATATCTGCACACCCCCCTGCAAGTTTCAAGAACAACTCAATAAGTTTGCCTCGACAATGGCATGAGTTGACTTTATGGTCATTCACAGGCAATTGGCATGTGCCAAGCAGAAACGAAGATGCACATCATGCCTAAACCGCAGCAAGCGCCAGGTCCAATGCGGCACGCAGTATGATTTCCAGTTCCCCAGCCTTCTCTGGGTGCCATGTGCTTCACACAGGCCTTTGGCCTGGCTGATACTTGAGCCGAAATATCACACCCAAGCGTTCTATCGGCTGCTTTTGTTGTTGCAGTGCGTGGTGAACATCTGTATGCATATGTGATTCACCGACCTCTCCGTGTCCTTGCCCAAAGCTTTGCCAGAAGGGCCCCACTATAGAGGTTCAGACTTGCAAGGCACACAGTACCAGTACTGCAGTCTGCTTTTGCCTGTCTTCGAAAAACCAACTGCGGTGGTCATGTACCCGACAACCGGCGCCAGTCTCTATCCTTTTTCTGCACGTTTCACTGATTCACTGTCTTTGCTCTGCTGCAGGAGAGGCTTCAATTCCGCTAAAACAGGCTCTCTCTTGCCTTGGACGAGCGATCAAAGGACTCAGTCTGCCAGGCTCACCGCTGGAGCCAGCAACTTGTTTGCGAGCAGACTTGTTTCACTCAAGCGAGACGACCTTGTTTTGCTAAAGGGAGACACCTTGCTTGCCCTGGTATTCGTTTCGTTTCGTGGTTTGCCTGACACCTTCAGCAGGGAGAATCATGTTGCAACACGAGGGCAACATTGCCCATCAGACAGAAACTGATGGTAAAAATTGAAGCTGGCTCACTCCTGAGCGCTGGAAAGCTGTCACAGGGGGCTGGCCCATCCACTGGCCGGTTGGAAAAAATGGTGAATTGCTTAGATGCTGTTGTTCAAATATTCACCAACAAGTGGCGCAGCCGGTCAGGATGCCCTTTTTGATGACGTGGTCGAGATGTTCCGAGTGATGCCTGCCATCCGCCGCACGCCTTCTCCCATTCCTATGGACTAAGGTTTGTGCCTCGGGGCCTCAAGTTTGTGCATGGTCAAAATGGGTGAAAAGGGCGTTGTGACATCCTTAGCAACATCACTGAATCACGGTGCATCAGAAAACCAAGGTTTGCAAATGACCAGTTGTCATTGAATCCTCTGTCAACATGCTTGCCATGCATTTCCCGGAGAGGATTGCCGCTCGCAAACGCTTCGGTAGGAAGCTGTTTGACGCTTGTATGAGACTGCTGAGCCTTCTGCACAGTCTGAAGCTCAAGGCTCAAAAGGAAAAGTGCTGTCCTGAAACGCTCGGCATCTCAACTTCCCGGTGGCCTATCGTGGTTTCTCGGGCTACTGAACATGAGGCCTGCTACAGGGAACGCATACATATTCACCCACCCACCCAAGTTTGGTGTGTGTCCCAAACCCTCAGTGGCCATAGGGAAAGAAAAACACTTTTTGTAAGGGGAACCCCTTCCAAAAAAAGGAACAATGGCACCACTGGGAGTCTGGGGTGTCAGAAAACCCATGTCCTCAAACGTGATGATGACAAATTGACATGGTGACGCACCAGGCAAACACAACAAACAAGGCTGATTATTTCAGCGCCAGGGGTACAAATGCCAATAGGCCTGGCCAATGACTGTGCTTGATGCTTCTGCCCTGTACCGTCTGGCCTGCAGTCCCTGTACACGCTGTGACGTCCAGCTGGTGCTTGACACGGGCTGTCTTCATTTTGTCTACCAATTACAATCAATTTCGAAGCATGAACAGCGACGAAAACCTCTCCTCGTCAAACCAGGCCTTAAACTTCCTTCAGCAAAACAAGTTTTCTTGCCTCTCCTTCGTTTACCGGCCATCACAAGCAACGGTTGCTCCATGAGTTGGGCCCCCATATGCAGGAGAGCCCTGGTGTGAACAAACTGCCTATAGCCCTGTCTCATGAAGAAGGCAGTAAACAACAAGTGAGGAACAAACAAACTACCTTCAAGTAAGTAAACACTTGAAGCTTGCCATGCACAGTTAGGCTATCGTTCCATAAGGCACCATCAACACCTGCTCAAACAGCTTGAACATTTTTGAATTGCTGCATGATACTACTGGGCAACTATATAGGCCACCGGAGGTGGTAAGGAAAAGGTGTCTTTAGACGGCCCATGACGTGACAAGCAGCCAGAGAAGGAACACAGCCTAATAGGCAGCTGATGCAAAGATCTAGCATCGAGCTGAGTTGAGCGTGCCACCAAAGGGCTTGAAAAAACAAAGGGTGTGGCAAATTGTTGCTGCAGTGTTGGCTGGCTCTTGAAGCATGCACGCAAACAAGCAAGCAAACACATCACCCTGTCTGTACAGTATGTTATCTTCTTCACATTACGCTACCCTGTATCCGCACGTCCCTCATATACACATATGCAGCAGCGAAGCAGCAGCAGCAGCAGCAGCAGCAGCAGCAGCAGCAGCAGCAGCAGCAGCAGCAGCAGCAAAGACTACCCAACTACACCCATGCATGCAAACACACACACAATAAATAAACAAATAAACATATATATATATACACCGGTACTTTGTACATGTAACATGAAACTACTAAGAACAATAGTATATACTAGAATATATATCCATTAATGTGTATATATATATATATATTATGCTATCACATAGAGGCAACACACAAACAACCGACATAAACAAACACACAAACAAACAAACAAACAAACAAACAAACAAACAAACAAACAAACAAACAGACAGACAAACAGACAGACAAACAAAACAAACAAACAAAACAAACAAACAAACAAAAGTCAAACAAACAAAAACACCAACGCATCAAAACAAACCAACAAACGAGCAAAAAAACAAACAAACAAACAAACAAACAAACAAACAAACAAACAAACAAACAAACAAACAAACAAACAAACAAACACACAAACAAACAAACAAACAAACAAACAAAACAAACAAACAAACAAACAAACAAACAAACAAACAAACAAACAAACAAACAAACAAACAAACAAAAAAACAAACAAACAAACAAACAAACAAACAAACACACAAACACACAAACACACAAACAACACACACACGCAACAAAAAAACACATTCACATTCATATGCACAAGCACCTCCCTCCCTCCCTCCCTCCCTCCCTCCCTCCCTCCCTGCCTCACCTGCTCATGCCCTCACGCCCTCACCCCCTCACCCCCTCACTCCCTTACTCCCTCACTCCTGCACTCCCTCACTCCCTCCCTCCCTCACGCACTCACTCCCTCACTCACTCACTAACTGACGCACTTAACTTATTTTGCCTATTTTGCAACTTTACCTCCTTACTGGATTTACTTTACTTGCTTTGTATCCTTAACTTGTTCCCCAGATAGCTGAAAGCTATAGGGGTTCTAACTTCTAATAAAGAGGGGGAAGTGATTTGCGAGATTGATGAGCTGGTGCTAAGGGGCGTGCAGTTTGGGGTGCTGGTTTTTGCGGATTGGGGTGCTGTTTGAGGTGCTGATGGCAGTGCGGGCGCATCTTTTCAAGATTGACGGTAGGGTGCTAGGGGGCATGCAGTTTGGGGGTGCTGGTGCAGGTGCTGTTTTTCCCCAGATAGCTGAAAGCTATAGGGGTTCTAACTTCTAATAAAGAGGGGGAAGTGATTTGCGAGATTGATGAGCTGGTGCTAAGGGGCGTGCAGTTTGGGGTGCTGGTTTTTGCGGATTGGGGTGCTGTTTGAGGTGCTGATGGCAGTGCGGGCGCATCTTTTCAAGATTGACGGTAGGGTGCTAGGGGGCATGCAGTTTGGGGGTGCTGGTGCAGGTGCTGTTTTGGGGGTGACGGTGTTTTTGCATCTTGACGGTAGGGTGCACGGGGGCATGCAGTTTGGGGTGCTGATGCTGGTGGTGTTTTGGGATGCTGTTTGGGGAGCTGTTTGAGGTGTTGGTGACGGTGCGGGCGCAATGTGCGATATTGACGCCCGGGTGTTATCGGGCATGCAGGTGACGGTGCAGGCACATTTTTGCATCTTGACGGTAGGGTGCAAGGGGGCACGCAGCTTGGGGTGCTGGTGCAGGTGGCGTTTTGGGATGCTGTTTGGGGTGCGGCTGGGTGTCTGGGGGGGTGCTGTTTGGGGTGCTCTTAGGGTGACGGTGCAGGCGCATTTTTTGCGAGATTGACGGCAGGGTGCAGGGGGCATGCAGTTTGGGGTGCTGGTGTAGGTGCTGTTCGAGCCGCTGGTGATGCCGCGGGCGCATTTTATTTGGATTGGGGGTGCTACAGTAGGGTATGCAGTTTGAGTGCTGGCGCAGGTGCTACTTTGGGGTGTGCAGGTGACAGTGCCGGCGCACTTTTGCAGTCTGGGGTGTTTGCGAAGGTGCTGCTTTGAAATGGTGTTTGGGGTGCTCTTTGAGGTGCTGGTGATGGTGCAGGTGCGTGTTTGCGAGATTGACGGCCGTGTGCTCTGGGAGTGCTGTTCGGGGTGATGGCGCGGATGGTTTTGGGGGGTGTGGTGACGGGCGTGGCGTTTTTGCGAGATTGACTGCTGGTGCAGGTGCTGTTTTGGGGGGCCTGGTGACGGCCAGGTGTGTTTTTGCGAGATCGACGGCAGGGTGCTAGGTGGCATGCAATTTGGGGATTCTTGTGCAGCTGCCACAGTGCATTCGTTGGCATTTCGCTATCTGGGGTCTATGCTGGTGTAATGGGGGTGACGGTGTTTTTGCATCTTGACGGTAGGGTGCACGGGGGCATGCAGTTTGGGGTGCTGATGCTGGTGGTGTTTTGGGATGCTGTTTGGGGAGCTGTTTGAGGTGTTGGTGACGGTGCGGGCGCAATGTGCGATATTGACGCCCGGGTGTTATCGGGCATGCAGGTGACGGTGCAGGCACATTTTTGCATCTTGACGGTAGGGTGCAAGGGGGCACGCAGCTTGGGGTGCTGGTGCAGGTGGCGTTTTGGGATGCTGTTTGGGGTGCGGCTGGGTGTCTGGGGGGGTGCTGTTTGGGGTGCTCTTAGGGTGACGGTGCAGGCGCATTTTTTGCGAGATTGACGGCAGGGTGCAGGGGGCATGCAGTTTGGGGTGCTGGTGTAGGTGCTGTTCGAGCCGCTGGTGATGCCGCGGGCGCATTTTATTTGGATTGGGGGTGCTACAGTAGGGTATGCAGTTTGAGTGCTGGCGCAGGTGCTACTTTGGGGTGTGCAGGTGACAGTGCCGGCGCACTTTTGCAGTCTGGGGTGTTTGCGAAGGTGCTGCTTTGAAATGGTGTTTGGGGTGCTCTTTGAGGTGCTGGTGATGGTGCAGGTGCGTGTTTGCGAGATTGACGGCCGTGTGCTCTGGGAGTGCTGTTCGGGGTGATGGCGCGGATGGTTTTGGGGGGTGTGGTGACGGGCGTGGCGTTTTTGCGAGATTGACTGCTGGTGCAGGTGCTGTTTTGGGGGGCCTGGTGACGGCCAGGTGTGTTTTTGCGAGATCGACGGCAGGGTGCTAGGTGGCATGCAATTTGGGGATTCTTGTGCAGCTGCCACAGTGCATTCGTTGGCATTTCGCTATCTGGGGTCTATGCTGGTGTAATTTTACTTGCTTTCCTTGTTTACTCGCTTGCTTATTTGGTGACCTTCTTACTACTGCCTTACCTACTGACTTACTTACTTAGTTCCTTGCTGACGCACTTACACACACACACACACACACACTTAGACTCCCGAGGGAGGACAACAATCAAGGTCGAGTGACGTAAGATCGGGTGGCGCACATGTGCTGTAGTGTCTGAGTCAAGTACAATCGAGTAGTTTCAGGGCGAAGAACAAGCAGCCTGGGGGGGGAACAAGCCTTATGATAGCATTTGCAGGTAAACAGTGGAGCGTCCCCCACTGCATCACGGACTCCGCACGCACACACGCACACACGCACACACGCACACACGCACACACGCACACACGCACACACACACACACTCAAATACAAGGCGCATGTGCGCGCACTTGCGCTCACCCGCAAACGCTCGTGGATGCGCGCGCCAACACACACCGGTTTTTGCACGCGCCGAGGTGCGGGCGCACGCACACGCACTCACACACACATACAAACCTGAACACTTGTAAACCAAAGCGACCATGCTCCCATGTCAATGTGTGTATGAGGCTGCATCCCTGCAAATGCAATAGCCGTTGGGTTCAGACAGTCCGCATGTTCATCTTGGTTTTACAGTGGGTGCAAAAGCAGCCCTTCAAGTGCATCTGAATTCGGCCGAGGCCGAGGCCGCCTTCGAAGCAATGACGCCAGGGCAGAAGACGCGGAAGCAGAACCCATCTAACTTCGTCTGATCGAAACAAGCATTCAAGCACCTAGCATGCGAGCTGATGCTGCTCCCCAGATCCCCCACAAGTGCTTGAGAATGAACTGCAGACCTGTCGTGGTAAACGACTCTAATAACCAAACCGACCCTTAGGATGATGTGGGAGAGCCTGTCACTCCACATCGCCACGTGTTCTGCCCTGGGCAACGCTTGGTACTGAAGCTCTTGCGCCTATGGGCCCGGGCACTTCACGTGGCAGTGCCCGGTCGCAAGAGCAGACAGCGCCACCAAAAATGAGCAAAGGGCACACGGAAGATTCGCGCGCTGGCCCATTGAACCTAGCTCGCAGTCACATGCTTCGCCGAAAGCGCTGACACGTTCCGTTGCACAGTCCTTTCTTGGAGGCCGGCGCGGATGGGTGCAGTACAAGCCAACAAAAAAACAACATGAGACGTGATCGTTTTCAAGTCAAACAACATGGCCCATCATCATTTGCCCGTGATTGCCACTTAAAACAACTAAATATTGTCACAAACCCATGCAATCAAAAACAGTCACCGGTCCATGTTTCAAAAACCATTGGTCTAAACTGACCGTAGGCAGAAATGAAAGCAAAGGATGGTCATTCGTGCTTCCCATTGAAGCCTTGCCAGGATCTTGCAACACCAATGCTAGCAAGCGGGGCATAAACAAAGAAAACAGTGGTCATGCCCATCTTCTACCCTCAAACACTACCATAGACTTTCTGCTGAGTGGTTCGCTCGGGTCAGGCTCTACTTCTCGTGCCAAGACAACGAAGGGCGACTGAGAGTTTTGGCTAATCTCAACATGCATCACAAAGACAAGACCCCCGTGAGACTTAGCCTTAGCGAAACCTAGTTTTGGAAGTGAGGATGACAGCCTTCCAGCGCTATACTGTTGAGCTGCAAATCTATGTGTGGTTGAGTGGCATTGTAAGGAGAGGCGGTCACCCAGAACTGAAAATGAGGGCGTGTGAATGCAGTTGTCGTATCCCAGGCTGCGTCAGAAACTCTCAGCTCCTTCCCTTCATTGACACGGTTGATGAGAAGCCTTCGCACGTGTCTCTGATAGGCGGCCGCTTTCGTGTGCCTTCATAGCTGAGTTGGGGCCCAGCTTCAAATTAGCATTTCTATGACCCAAACCTGAGAAAGCCTGAAGCTTGCAAGAGCATCTGCTTACTTCGAACAACTCCTTCCTTTGGGCCCCACTGCCACTTTCCGAGTCTGCACGCGTCGCTCTGCGCAACTCGCCCTCGCCTGTTCCGCACTTCACTCTGGCTCCTCTGGGTCCGGCCAGCTCTCCCGAAGCACCTTGTTCTTCATGGCCTGGCGGGAGAACTCACGGGATCACAACACCTGCGCACTATTGAGGTCTGGCGATTGTCCTACAAACACACTCCAACACGCACACACACACACACACACTACCAGCCCAGGCTGACATGCTGCTGGACCTTTCTTGAATTGATGCGTGCGCAATGTCATTTGATGGACAAACTCCAACCAAAAGTTGGGGAGCCAAAAGAACCATGCTTTGAAGCGCTTCCGCGTTGGCTACTTGTTTGCATGGTCACGCAGTGATGATGGTCACCCTATTGGGCGTATGGC